ACACCTCCTTCCTGCTGAGCAGAGAAGGGCAGCTGCAGAAGGCGGCGGAGGTCCTGGACACCTTTGGCAAACAGACGGAGCTGAAGGTGAACTGTGATAAATCGGTAGTGGTGCCGCTGGGTCACAACAGGGGGGCGCCGGTGCCGGCGGATATCCCGTACAAATGGTCAGAGAATGAGGAACCGGAACGGCTCCTGGGGGTGTGGAACACGCCCAGTGGAGAATCTGGTCCGTCGTGGAGGAGGGCATACGAAATAATTAAGGAAGAGCTAAGGAAGTGGGAACCACAATATCTCATGACGACAGCAAGGGTAGTGGTTATCAGCTGTTACGTCCTGTCGGTTTTAATGTTTCAGGCGCAATTGTACTCACCATCGAAGGAATTGTTGGAGAAGATCAGAAAGCTCTGCCATGCTTTCGTCTCGGCGGGGGAAGCTATGGAGGAGAAAATCTTCATCCTCTGGAGTGCTTATCTGGCGTGTCTCCCGCGGATGGACGGAGGCTTGAGGCAACTGGATCCAAAGCTCTGCCTCGACGGGTTGGTTGTCCAGAAAATTGGCAAACTACTAGGTGAGCCGGCTTCCCGCGAGCTTGGGCTACGTTGTTCGCACATCCATATGCGGGGAGGCACTGGCAGCAAGGGAGTGAGAGATGGAAGGCGGCGGTGAAAGTTTTCTGGAAATTGCCGCTCGCATCATTGCCGACACCTGCAAACAAATGGGAGGTGGAGGAGGAATTTATCTGTTTCAACAAAAACATCATGCACAGGGGGGATAGTCCCTTCGGGCACCAGATTCGCACAGCGGCCCTTCTCACCACGCGCGTCAAGGACCTGCTCACGGATGGTCCGGGAGGGCGGAGATGCTTGAAGGAGGAGGACTTTCTGACAATAGAGCTTGGGAGCAAAGAGGCGGCGGTTAAGGCAAGGAAAGCCTACGAGGCCATGCCATCAGAGTGGAAGAAGATGGTTGAGGAGCCGGTAACGGCTGAGGAGGTGGTAGCAGCATCAGGAGTTGTGAGGTACATCCTTCGGGGACAGCCAGCGAGGCTCCCATGGGCAGTGAAGGGAGTGGATGCATAAAAAATCGTCGCCTCCGCCATGTCACTCGACAAGGAGGGGAGGCTGGGAACACACACGAACTCGAGCAAGACGTGTTTCGAGGCGTGCAGACTATAGCCGATGGCGGTCCAGGGGAGCAGGTTGGTGGGGCAGGTGGGCGACCCAAATACAAGGCTCCTAACTAGACCGAAGCTCTTTGTGGGAGGAGAGCTGGCACCGCTTGACAAGATACGTGCTGTGCTCTCTAAGTCAACTGGGCGCTCTTGGAGGCAGGCAGAATGGGAGGATGTGCGGGGCAAGAAGATTGAATGCAAGCGGGGCATCAAAATCCGTGACTCGGTCCACGTCCCCCTCAAGGCGAGGGACATGCTTCTCAGGGTCCACATGGTGAACCTACAGGTGGGAGGAAGACTGGATTTTTTCCAGAACAGAATCAGCTGTGCACATTGCGGGGGGGAGGAAACCCTAGCGCATTGCCTTAACAGCTGCCCAGTCATACAGCCGATCATCGGCACGCTCAAGAGATCTCTGCAAATGCTGAACCCGGATAGGTCCCTGAGCTCACTTGGAGATCTGCTTTTCGAGGAAGGGGGTACGGGGTCGGGTTTTCCCGAAATGACACTGACAGCTGCGGTGCTCCGCCAGGTTTGGTTAGCACGATGCAATGTGGTATGGCGTGCGGCCCCTTTTGAAAGGAAGAAGGTTGGGCGCTGTGCGGTGCTGGATTTCATGACGCATGCGAGGGTGGTGCTGGCATCAAGAGAAAAGGCGGGCGCCACGGGAGAGGGGGGCAGTACGTGGAGTACAGATAAGTGGCGCCATGTGGCGGTAGATGAGAGGAAGAAATTACGGGGAATCTGTGACGAGGAGGGGCCAACATGTTGGACAGCCTAGTTTCTGTCCATCTGGTGCAACCCATGCACCTTACACTAACCACCGTGAATCACCATAGGAGGGATGTCCAATGCTTTACTAAGCGTAGCATAGGCCCTCCGAGAATATAGTTACGACTACGGATGTATCTATGTTTTGATAATATACTTACAAAAAAAAAAGAGTAACACACCAAGCGTTACTCTTCAAAACTCCATTCGAACCCCGTGTTCGGGGTCATATGACGTCAGCGTCGTTGGCGGTTTTGCCCAGACTCGCCGAGGTCATTGTCGTGACTCTCCGAAACACTCCCAGGCATGGGCGAAATATAGCTGCTCCTCCTCCTCCTGTCCTTTTTTTTTTTTTTTTTTTTTTTTTTTCAGATTCGAACTTGAACCGCAATTTGTGTCAGCACCACCATGAGCGTTGTCGTTATTCACCGAACTCTTCTCGGCAGAGACGAAAAACAGTTGTCGCCTCTTCCCCCCTTCCTTTGAAAAATCGATCCGCTATGTTGTCGCTGGTACCCATGAACAGAGACGGAGGTAATTGCCGACCTTTGTTTCCGACGGTTTTGCGCGCTTAGTTAAGCATTTTTTGCATCCGCGTTCTCCTCACAGAACTGTCGACCTTTGCCACCGAATTCATTAAAAATCACTCTTGGGACTTCCTGCAGTACGTCTTGGATACCTGCAGCTATCCCCCAAAAAGAACCGGTGTGTCTAGCATGCCCACCCGTCGCCATTTTCATTGCCTATGGTTAACCACACTAGCGACCCACCAAGAGGAAGCACTTCTTGTATGGAAGCCACAACTATGGTTCCACCGGCACCAAATTTCACGAAACCTAACCCGCATCAACGCTGCTGATCTCGCCGTTGAACTTCCCCAGGTGAAATACACCGCAAAACGCTGAAATGACTTGGCGAACTGACATTCACTTGTCTCCCACCATAGGAATGTAGCCTAATAATTGCAGTTGCTGAATTGAGTCCCAAAGTCTTTTTCACTGAGTGGGCCCGGCATTTTCGCGGTGTTTCGACGCTCACCCATTTTTTACACCCGCTGAAATTCCACGCAGAAGATCCGAGGTATCCTTGGCGATGCACGTCTCCGCCACGCCTCTTTACATAAAAACCGACCCTTTCAAGCGTCCCCAAGTAGACCCTGAATTCGATGAGAATTCATGCACGGGCTCAACGCACTCCAAACAACTTGAGCATCCACAACTTTCCCTCCTTTTTTTTGTCTGCACCCCCCAACAATTTTGCTTGCCTCCATTCACCCAGCATCCATTTTTTTGGATGAGGTATTGCTCATGGTTGCCCGCGATTTTGTGACATTGGGTGAAGGCGCAAACGCTATCGTAACCAGAGAGCTGTTTATCGTATCAACTGCTCAGGCCGGCCGCTTTGCTACCCACTTTGTTTATTGCGCTTAAAGAATCAACAGCTTCGGGAACTCAGTCTTCGCGTTGCACCTCCGACAAGTAGACCGCTGAATCAGGAGAGACACCAACAGCTGCAACAACTTGCTCCGCCTTTGCAGCTACCTGGTGTAGGATATGTGGGCAGTTGTAAGAATTCGGCGGGGGGAGCTTGTTCTGCTACCACCGCTTAGCCGCAAAACCCGGCATCGACAAAAGGTCCTTTTTAATGGGTCGTTCTCGCGCCTCCGTGTATTGTAGCTGGTAGATCCCCTGAAAATCGCGGGTCTACACGTTGCGTGAAACCATTGTCCCGACGGTGTACTGCCCTGTATGCGGCACAACTACCCTTGATCAGAGAGACCTATGTCACCTGAAGCACTGAATCGGTTGCTACTGATGCTCCGAAAAATTTGCCGATTTCGTTCCAGGCGCAGAAGTGACCCTAATGCGAATAGTCTAGTCGTAGGAGTGTGTTCGAAACTTTTTGGTGGTCTGAAAAAAAAAAACTACTTTTGTTCCACGCTTTGTCGATCCTGCTGAAAACGCCAACGACGCACCCTCCTGCAGCAACACCGCTAAACCCGGGCGGGACGACGGTAGACCCCCACTTTCTTCGGCAGTCGTCACGCCGTCTCTCCTCGTCGTTTTGTTTTCCGAAATGTCGATGACAATGCCGCCATGGCCATGGCGGAGACAACTTGGCCTCTAGCTGTTTCTCCCAGCTCCCATTTATCATGCCCTCAACAAACTTCACATCCCTGCTATCAAACATGACATTCTTAGATGGTTCCCACAACAGCCATCCCTTGCCCTCAGCAGCCAGCCCCAATTGCACGCACCAGATTGCACTTGCCCCCAACTTACGTTGATAGGACTTGGGGACATGGGCGACTGCCATGCAACCGAACACCCTCAGCATGTCCACCGGCGGCTTCCACCCAAGCCACCTCTCCAACGGCACCCACGAGTCATCCCCAACCTTGGTGAGCACCCTATTCCTAGCGTCGGTAGCGTGCCGAACAGCATGGGGCCACATCGGATTACCCAGCACAGATTCTATGAGCAGCTCCCTAGCTGTCTCTAGGATGGTCCGGTTTGCCCGTTATGCTACACCGTTGGACTGTGGGGTGTAAGCCGTGGTCAGCTCCCTCTGGATGCCCTGCTTCTTGAGCCATGTCGTCATCTGATACTAACATTGAAGCACTTGGCAGATGCGCGGCTTTAAGCTCTACACAATGGTGCCTTCTTAGTATTCATTACGGGAACCTAAGCACCACTTATAAGAGTTCCAGGCTATCGGCAGTGTTTCAAGCAACATCAAGGCAAACTATTACACGTGACTACCACCAAGGTTACAAGCATTTGCATGGAGACCATCGCGTTTCGTGCTTGGCATTGTCAGTAGCTCGCGTCATCACCAATTTTTCCAGTTCCCAAGGTTTACCGACGCTCGAGGTTTCTAACCATCTAGGCTGGCTGTCGATCCCTATGGATGTGGTTACCCCTTCGGGCCTTGACCTACAGCGTTTTGCTTTCAAGCATAGGAAGTATAAACAATCAACGTTTCCAACAAGTGTGCTCAGTCCAGCTCGATCCTCAGCCTACGACGGGCTGTCGAGCTTTTCTCATCATAGCACTATGGGGAAGGGTCGCAACAACAAGGCCGGCAAGAAGACGGTCGACAATGGACAGGAGAAGGAGTTGGCTGACGTACCTGACGTACCTGTGAAAGCGCCGTCTTCCTCAACGTCACCTGCTGTGCTTGGACCCTTCGACGACTTGTCGGACCTGCAGAATAAGGCTGACCACACCAACGGACCAGGCGGGGAAGATGCTGACGGTGTTGACCGCAACGCCGTTACGGATCACGCGGCTGCCGATGAAGAGGCTGATGCGGATGCTGACGCGCAGGAGGACGAAGAAGCTTCGTCGGATCGGGCTCTTGATGATGTTGATGATGGTTACCTGAGCGACGACTCTGATGAGCACCTGGAACCGGTCTCGCTCGGCAGTATCATTGCTTTGAAAAGATTTTCACTAACCTTGCTGGTGCCGATTCTCAGGAAGGCTGAAGTCAAGCGAGCTGCTGTAACAGTGGCTGCCTTACTGGATGACTGGAAGGAGCAGCTGTCACCAGAGGTGCTGCAGACAACGACCTATTAAGAGCTCACGGCGACTTATTTTTCTGGCACACGTTATGGTCACCTTCAAGTTACCTTTAACCATGCCAGAGACGCGAACTACGTCTGGAGTCAGATCATCAGTCATGAGTGTGTGAACGGCGACATCATCGACCTTACCTGGCAACATCCTGAAGACCCGCGCTTCCTTCGTGAGCGCCTGCTGAATCCGACGGCGAAAGAAGTTGTGGTCAAAGGGGTGCCTGCTGAGATCACTGCTGAGCTAATTCCTCACTTGCTGGTGGTGTCGAAGCTGGTTAAGCGCGGCAGGAGCGCGTTCGCCAGTGGCTTCGGTTTCCACCGTACTGTCGACCCGGTCACTGGACTGGAGACTGACCGCATTCGAGGCTTGATCGTCCCCCACGCTGGAGGTACTTTGTGGAGGACCCGTCGACAGGGAGGCGGTACCTGCTTCACTTCCCGTCACTTACCTGCGAGCTCTGCAGCGGTCAGCACACATCCCGGTATCACGATCACTACGTCACCTCAAGGCAGGAGAACTTCACCAACCGGAACCTGACGGTCAAAAAGGTCCATGAGATGAATGGTATAAGCAGAGCGACCCCTCACCTTCTACCTTCGCATACGCTGTCCGCGCATTCTTTCTCGCTTACATCACGTTTCTTGAACTGTACTGACGGCCGTCTCCCCGCCTCCTCCCGCAGCGGCATCCCTGAAAGCCTCAACGCCTCTGATACGCATCTTGAAAGACCCCGCAGTTGTACTCACCTCCACGGGGGGTGTGCGGGAGGAGTGGGTGTGCGTACAGACCGTGTGCGAGAAGGCGCAAGGGAATCATTTCGAACAGGCGGCAGCCTATGTTGCTTCTGCCAGGCACAAGGGAGGGCTGAAGAAAGACGGTGCTGCAACACGTGCCAGCAAACACTCTCAGAAGATGGCTGCTTTCAAGAGGGAGTTCATGGCCGTGCCAGCAAAGAAGTGACCAGTGGCTTATCAGACGAGGAGTCGAAGTGGATTGTTGGTGCAGGCTGTGTAGTAGGTGCCATGTTCGCTTTCGCTGTAGCAGGATGTATCGTCGCAATAAAGCTTAACCACCCGTGGATGCTGTGGGGCTCACAGAAGTGGATTAATGGATAAACGCAACTGCTTAACATTCCTCAAGCTCAACATCAACGGGCTCCGTAGCAGCGGAAAGCAAGAGCGCTGTGCAAAGTGGATCAGGAAAGCAGCACACGTAGTTGTACTCACCGACACATGAGTCTCAGTGGATCATAATTTGTGGACGCAAGTCAGAGCTGAGGCCCAGGCAGTGGTCGGCCCGTCACTGAGAGCTGGCGGGGTGGCGGTCTTGGGCTTTCTGCCAGGCATGCGGTTCACAGAGGTTGTTAAGCACGAGTCTAGCCCTCTCATAAGTCTGATGATAGCATGGCGCGATCTGCGGTGCAGGATTGTGGCAGTATACTTACCGGCGCAGGCCCCTGCTAGGGGTGTTTTCTTCCGTGATGTACTGTCACCGTTTGTGCAGAATCTGGGCGTTTCTCCTCACACCATCCTCCTAGGTGACCTGAACATTGTAGCGGACCCGGAACTTGATAAGTCTTCAAAGCTGGGTACTCAGGCGGAGAACCGGAGGCTCCTGCAGATATGCTCGAGATGGGATCTGCAAGACGCCTTCCGGAGCCTCCACCCAACAAGGAAAGATTATATTTTTTTCTCAAGATCTGCAAAAACTAGCACACGGATTGATAGAGCTTTAGTCTCCCACTCCCTACTCAGTTGCGCAACAGAAGCGAAGCACAGAATGGTGCCTTACGGTTTGACTGACCACTGGTTCGCGGTGATGGTGTCGCTCAGGTCAGCACTGTCGGACGATCATGGCCCCGGCCTATGGAGACTTCAGGCGCCTCAGTCAGGAGGTGACGGTGTCAAGAACATCATATCGGCGGTAGTGGACAGGCAGGCGTGCCAACAAGAGTGTGGTCTGGAGAGACTGGTGGCCAACCTGCGCGCAAGCATGCGGGCTCACGTAGCAGAAGAGAGGAAGAGGGTAAAGGCGACTATGGAGCACCTGGAAAAGAAAGTGGAAAGTCTCCGTTGGAGAGTGATGGCGGACCCGTCTTCGCAAACCTTGTACGAGGAACTGGTTAAGAGTGAAGCAGCCCTGAAGCTCTACTAGGACCAAAATAAGGAGAGACTGCAGGTTATGTCAGGGCTGCTGCTGGAGCTGGCTAGAGAGACCCCGTCGAGTTTCCTGTCGGGGATGGTCAAATCAAGAAAGGCAAAAACAGAAATACTGGAGTTAAATTTCAAAGGGGTGTTGAGGAAGGGAGCAAGAGAGGTGCTGCAGGCGGCTTCAGAACATTTCAAAGAGGCCTATGCTGTGTCACCTCTGCATCACGCGAACGAGCCGTGGCCAATAGAGGAGGGAAGGAAGCTACAGGAGAGCGACCTGTCATAGTTGGACAAGGAGTGGTCAGAGCAAGAGGTGAAAGCAGCGCTCAAGGGCTTACCGGCAGGGAAAGCTCTGGGGCAAGATGGTCTGCCGAAAGAATTCTTTGAGTGTAATTGGGAGCTGCTCGGACCGGCGGTGATGAGAGAGGTCAAAGATTTCGAGGCGTCTGGGAAACTCTCGGAGGCCTTCGCAACGACGGTCACAATCTTACTGCACAAGAAAGGGGACAGAGGAGATCTGAGCAACTACAGGCCAATCACGCTGCTAAGCTTCTTCTACAAATTCCTGGCGAAGGTGTTGGCGAACAGAATCAGACTGGTCTTACAGCGTGTGAGATCGGAAAATCAGTTCGGTTTTCTTCCGGGCAGGAGCCTCGCTGACGCGGTCTCGCTGGTAGCAGATGCGATTGATGCCGCGGAGCAGGAGGATGAAGATTGGCTGCTGCTGCTGGTAGACTTTCAAAAAGCCTATGACTCGGTGTCGCGCGACTACCTGTTCTCGACGCTGGGCAACATGGGGTTCCCGAGAAAATTCACGGGGTGGGTGAAAGGTCTCCACGATGGCGCGGCAACCAGGGTGCTGCTGAACGGCTGGATAGGAGAGCGGGTGGAGATGGTAAAGGGGGTGCGGCAAGGCTGCCCGCTCGCCCCGTACCTCTTCCTCTGCGCAATTGAGCCACTCTGCCAAGAGATTGAGAGAAGGAAGTTGGGGGTCCGGAAAAGAGGGGTGAAGGGGGAGCTAGCATACATCGGATATGCGGACGATACAACACTGGTCTTAAAGGGGAAGGAGCAAGTGGAGGCAGCCGGGAAATTACTTGGGGAATTTGCGGAGATCTTGGGGCTAAAGGTGAACCACGACAAAACGACACTGATGCCTCTGGGGAAGAACAAATGGAGGCTGCAGCCGATAGCGTCACCCTTCACATGGGCAGACAAAAACAAGTCGGAGCGGCTGCTTGGAATCTGGATCACATCGGGAAGGTCTCCGGGGCATGCGTGGGACAAAGCCTTTGAAAAAGTCAGCGCGGTGTTAAGCTGCTGGGAGACGAAGCACCTCAAAACATCGGCGCGGGTCACGATCATCAATAGTTACACGATGCCGATTCTGCTTTTCTAGGCACAGATCTATGCCCCGCCACATGACACCTGGACCAAGGTGAAGCGGTTGTGTCACAACTTCATTTCTGGAGGAAAGGCGCTCCTAGACAGGCACTTCACGCTCTGGAGCTATGAGCTGTCATGTAGGGGACGGAAGGAGGGAGGCTTGGGAGTGGTCGATCTGAAGCATCGGATTGACAGCACGGTGTTACAAAACCTGGGGAAAGCACTGGTGGATCAGGAGCCTCTGCGGAACTAGATTTGGGAGAGAGCCGTCGGCTTCCCACTTGGCTTGGCCACGATCTACGCTCACCCTTCGGTGCTGAAGCACTGGTTTGGGGGGGGGACGAGGTGGAAGGCGGCAGTAAAGGTGCTGTGGGACTCGAAAATTGTGGTCATGGGAGACCCCACACACAGATGGGACGCGGACGAGGAGCAACTGCTCTTTAACTGTAAGATCTTCTTCCCGGGGCAAGTCACCTTTCGGGAATCAGGCGGGGTCTCACTATCTGAAGGGCGTCATGCTGGGGGACTTGGTGACCAAAGACAGGGATGGTAACAGGACTCTCAAGAGCGAGCAGACCCTGGAGCGTGTGTTGGGAGGCGTGGACTAGAGAAAATGGGCCCTTAAAGCGTGGGACGCGACACCACAAGGATGGAAAGACTTGATACTAAAACAGCTGACGGCATATGAAATTTTCAGGGAGACGGGTCTGGTTCGCCTGTCGTCGTACCGTCCGGGGGAGCTCTTCTACTATCAATTAGACTTCGTGAACGAAGGGGTATTGTACGGACGGAGGGTGGCCGTGGACAAGAAGGGGTACATATCGGCGATGCAGTATGCTAGCATGGTGACAGTGGATTTTCTGCGCGCCACACCTGTGGCGGTCATAGGAGGAAGGGTCCGAGGCCTACTCGGCGCCCCAAGAACGCGCCTACTCTACTCTCCAATCTGTGAAAAGGGCGAGCGGGCCGAGCTGAAATAGCTGAGGAAGGCGATGAAACCCCCGTCGACCCAGCCTAAGCAGCAGCTGCAGTGGGAAGAGGCGATGGGGAGGAAGATCAACTGGGGGAAGGCCATCACAGTCCGTGACTCGCTGGCAACTCCATGCAGGGCACGTGAAGTAATACTGAGGGTGCACAGTAACAACCTCCAAGTGGGGGAGAGGCTCCCTTTCCTGGGCGCGAGAGCGAAATGCATGCACTACGGCGGAGTGGAATCGCAAGACCACTATCTTTTCAGCTGCCCTGTGATCCAGACAGCGGTGGAGGCGATGAAAAAGGCGGTGCAGTGCATGAACCCAAGCAGGGACATGAGATCTCTCGAGGACATGCTCTTCCAAAAGAGTGGCACGTCGTCCGACTTTCCGGAGGCTGCAATGATTTCCATTACAGCATAGCAAGTGTGGTTGGAGAGATGCAATGCGGTGTTCCGTGGCAGCCGGTTCCTGCCAAAAAGGGCACTGAGGCGCATAGCAGTCGGTTTCACGAGACACGTGAAGATCTACAGTAGAGCGCGGAAGAGGATGGCTGACAGAGGTGGTTCAAAAAGGGCGGGTGACTGGGGCCACCTGAACGCTGACGAGGCAAACGCTATGCGCAGACTTTACGAGAACGAGGCTTCGATGACGTGGAGAGCATGTTTCAAGGCGATCTGGGAAGATGGTGGTGTAGCTTTCCAGCCTCCGTAAAGGGATAAGGGGGTTTTTGGTTACTTGTGACCTTTCACATGCCCCCTAGCATCAGTTACGACTGCGGATGTATGTATACGTGTAGTGTACTTTTTGTCCACCAAAAAAAAAAAAAAAAACTGTTTTCCGACGCAAATCACAATGCGCCTGGCTTGCCAGGCCAGCTATCGTTTGCCACTTTAAAATCTTTGCGCATAGTGACGACAATCGCCACTTGCCGAAGCCCTCCGAAAATTTCGTGCGCAATGTGACGAAAAGCCTGATGCCACTTGCCTCACGCAACAACCCCGACCACGTGAAGACGCCAACTCGCACCGCCATCGTTTCCGACAATCTTGGACATGCAGTGACGACGATCTCGCCGACGTCAGCTGCCACACAGAGTCAGCTCCAGAATTGACAAAAATAAACACGCGCTTTTAACTTACGTAATTGGTGTGCAACAACCACAGCTGCCCACCACCCGGAAGGAGGGATGTCACGGTCAATCTCGACCGTCGATGGCAAGGATCCGGCGGTGGTTTGAGGAGCGCCTGTTAATTTGTTTCCATGAGGAGCAACTACCTGTTCTCCTGGTCGACTAGCACGCAGCTCCTGGACCCCACGACATCCCGAGGGGTAGTACACTCTAAAAGGCGGAGTGAGTTAGGAATGTAGCTTTGTTACCAAGTGTTATGAGTTGTACTATCAGAGTGCACGGAAGACATCTATAAAGAGACTGTAATCACATAATATGAGAATACAGTGAAAGCATGGAAAATTATAGGGCGAACCCTGGCTAAGTGAGGACCTCGGGACATGCGAGGGTTGGGGTTGTCACGATTGGTGCAGGGCAACTCGAAATGTGGTTCGGGTCGAAGTGTAGGCCGAGCCCAAACTGACGCGAAGTGCATGGGCTGTACCCGTTAAGTTCAGGCTACAGTAATGATTGCTACATCCATTACACTCTACCCACCTTCTAAATATGGCCCCCATATACATTGGCGAGTCTTGCAGAAGCGTGATAACTGCAGATCTGCTGTCAAGTTGTTGGAACCTTGATCCTCTTGGACTCTGCTCCTGCTCCTGTCTATCTTTTCTTAGGCTCTTCCTTGCACTTCTCTTGTTTTGACTCCCAGTCTTTGTCTCATCACTGTGATATGTCTCGCAAATGCATATCTTTATGCCCTCGTCGATGAGCTAATTCTAGTCGAATAGTTGTATGGTTTTGGGACTGTCCCATCTAAATTTTGCAAGCTCAACAAATCGCTCTACGTCACTAAACAAGCCGGCAGCACCATGTTCACAAACACCTAATTTGTTTTCTGGTTTTGACAACTGCGGCATGATCAAGGGATGTACCACCTCGACCGTGACGACGCCTTCGTTCAACTGATTTTCTACATTGACGACTTGGTCTACATCGACACAATAGCCTTTATCTTGACTTACTTTAAAGGGGAGCTACAAACGGATTCCACGTTTACAAGTTTGACCGCTATTCAGAACCTTTCCCATTTGCATATTACCCCGGATATAAGCGCACCTGCGCTTATAATAAAACAGTGTTTTTTAGGGGGGTGCGCTTATAATTGAGTCAATTTTATAAGCGCATGCACTTATATAATGGCAAATACATAATTATGATTTAAAGCACCAAATTGTGCATCCCAGTACAGTTGCATTTTCAATCAAATCGAAATGGGCGTCAGAATCGCGCAAGGGTGATTTTCTGCCGGCGCACAGGGGCAAGGACGCGTCAAGCTTGCCCCAGCCCAGTGTATGAGCCAATCACATGCAGTCGCTTGCTCAGTGCACAGCCCCCACGGCTGTGCTGTCAGTCAGCTTCGCCCCAGGCCAGCATACGAGCCACTCGCGTGCAGCCGCTCGCTCGCAGCGCACAAGCACGGTCCCTTTTCCCATCCCCCCCCCCCCCCCCCTTCGCCCAGAAAGGGCTGTCAGTCAACGGCTTCGCAAGGTTCCGCCTTTCCTGATCGAATCGCCCGTGCTGAAGAGAGTCAACCGAAGTACGGTAGAAGTGGATGTGGGTGGACTGGACTCGCTGCAAAACAGGGAATCGTTACCGTTTCTATCATGATTTAAAATAAAAATTGTACATGCGCTCATAATAAATCAGGGTTTTACAGGGGGTGCGCTTATAATTGAGGATCGGCCATAAGCGCATTGCTCCAGATACAAGCGCATGCGCCTTTAATAGGCCTGCGGTTATATCCGGGGCGATACTGTATGCTAAAGCCTTTATAAAAACATTGACTTGACTTCCATTTCATTTCGAAATTCAAACATACAAGGCAACTGGAAATGGATAAGCACACACACAAGCACACACAAACACACAGGCACACGCACACCCACACACACACAACTACAGTAGCACACAAATGGCTAACAATCACACATGGTACAACGAGCCAACCAGTAATGTGACCTTATTCTAATAAACACACAAAATGACTCAGCAAGCTATCAGCCAAAGGTGATTCCTGACCTCCAAGCAACCGCATGCAGTTGCTCGCACCTTCGCCCGTCAATCCCCGGCATCTGATGTCCCTCCTGGCGCTGAAGCAAGTGCTCCCTTGCCCCATGTCTGTCCAACTAGGGTCGTCTGTTCTTTGCTTGTCCACCGTTTGCTTATCCACCAACCGTTTTGTAGTGAACATAATCAGCGCGTGCACTCGTTCTTCTTCTTGTCCAACTGGAACCCCGTGTTGCATTGGCACTGTGGCGTTTCTTGCACCAGCTTGTACTGGGCATTATCAGGGCAGGCAGGCAATCATACGGCTGCAACATGAAACAGGGGGGATGAGGGAGACGGGAGGAATGGAGGATGAGCATAAACTGCAGCTGTGGAACACAACGAGAATAGTTCGGCACAACAAACTGGACACACAACTCGTTCATGGGTGCAGTTGGGTGGTGGCGAGTGCGGGAGAGGGGGGCAAGCATAAGGATCACGCGAGCTGGACAAGATTCCAAGAGAGCAGGGCGGAAAGAAGAGAACTTGTCATTCTCCCTTACGTGTGCACTGTTTCTTGCTCTTGTCCATTTTGTAACCCGAATTGCACTGGCACTGCGCTGTTTCATGCACCATCGTGCACCGGCCATTAGCAGGGCAGGCAGGCGAACACACCGGAATGGCTGCCACATGAAATGAAACGGAGAGGGGGAGGGGGAAGACGGTGAGTGGAGTCTACAGGGAGGGCCTGTATGAGAGTAAAGCCCCATGACACACAGCCTTGAAACGGGGGAGACGGGAGGAAGGGAGGACAAGCGGGACCGACAAGGAGGGCATACATGAGAGTCAACAATTGGGATGGGGCACAGAGATGGTTCATGAGTGCAGGTGGGTGGTGGTGGGTGTGGAAGGCAAAGCCAAGGAGAAGAATCACTGGATAAGGATAAAGGTGGAAAGGAGCTGCAGCATGTTCCAAGAAGGCAGGGTAGAAAGGCAAGCATTTTGCTCCCTTACATGTGCACTGCCTCTTGCTCTTGTCCATTTTGTAACCCGCCTTGCACTGGCACTGTGCCGTTCCTCCCACCACCGTGCACCGGGCCTTAGCAGGGCAGGCCGGCTTGCACATGGGGAGGAGCAAGTGGAAGACACCCACAAGCACTCAAGCTTAACTCACGCTGAAGCACTTGATCTCTTTCACTAACGGCTGGACTGATTCGGAGATTATTGACTCTTCACCCCTTAACCTCACCAACCTTTGAATCACAGACTTCAGAACAAGGCCCTCGGTTAGCTCACCAGTGCAGATGCCGCTCGTCTTGGTGTAGCCGGCCTTGCACTGGCACATCCCCAGCCCGTTCTTCACAACACATTTTGAGTTCCTGTCGCACCTCACAGCGCCCGTCTTGCAAGGGTCGTTAGCTGGCATGGGTAGAGGAGGGAAGCAGCTAGAGAAGCATCAGCAGTGTTTCAGAAATTATTGATCTCTTCAGCTCTTCACCTTTTTCACTTCTTCACCTCACCAGCCTTTGAAACACAGCCTTTGAAATGCAGCCTTCCAAACAGAGCCTTTGAATCACAGACTTCAAAACAAGGCCCCCCTCGGATAGCTCACCAGTGCAGACGCCGCTCGTCTTGGTGTAGCCGGCCTTGCACTGGCACATCCCCTGCCCGTTCTTCACAACGCATTTTGAGTTCCTGTCGCACCTCACTGCGCCCGTCTTGCAAGGGTCGTTAGCTGGCATGGGTAGAGGAGGGAAGCAGCTAGAGAAGCATCAGCAGTAGTTCAGAAATTATTGATCTCTTCAGCTCTTCACCTTTTTCACTTCTTCACCTCACCAGCCTTTGAAACACAGCCTTTGAAACACAGCCTTTGAAACACAGCCTTTGAAACACAGCCTTTGAATCACAGACTTCAAAACAAGAACCTCGGTTAGCTCACCAGTGCAGACGCCGCTCGTCTTGGTGTAGCCGGCCTTGCACTGGCACATCCCCTGCCCGTTCTTCACAACGCATTTTGAGTTCCTGTCGCACCTCACTGCGCCCGTCTTGCAAGGGTCGTTAGCTGGCATGGGTAGAGGAGGGAAGCAGCTAGAGAAGCATCAGCAGTAGTTCAGAAATTATTGATCTCTTCAGCTCTTCACCTTTTTCACTTCTTCACCTCACCAGCCTTTGAAACACAGCCTTTGAAACACAGCCTTTGAAACACAGCCTTTGAAACACAGCCTTTGAAACACAGCCTTTGAAACACAGCCTTTGAATCACAGACTTCAAAACAAGAACCTCGGTTAGCTCACCAGTGCAGACGCCGCTCGTCTTGGTGTAGCCGGCCTTGCACTGGCACATCCCCTGCCCGTTCTTCACAACGCATTTTGAGTTCCTGTCGCACCTCACAGCGCCCGTCTTGCAAGGGTCGTTAGCTGGCATGGGTAGAGGAGGGAAGCAGCTAGAGAAGCATCAGCAGTGTTTCAGAAAATATTGATCGCTTCAGCTCTTCACCTTTTTCACTTCTTCACCTCACCACCTTTGAAACACAGCCTTTGAAATGCAGACTTCGAAACAGAGTCTTTGAATCACAGACTTCAAAACAAGGCCCTCGGTTAGCTCACCAGTGCAGACGCCACTCGTCTTGGTGTAGCCGGCCTTGCACTGGCACATCCCCTGCCCGTTCTTCACAATGCATTTTGAGTTCCTGTCGCACCTCACAGCGCCCGTCTTGCAAGGGTCGTTAGCTGGCATGGGTAGAGGAGGGAAGCAGCTAGAGAAGCATCAGCAGTGTTTCAGAAAATATTGATCTCTTCAGCTCTTCACCTTTTTCACTTCTTCACCTCACCAGCCTTTGAAACACAGCCTTTGAAATGCAGCCTTCGAAACAGAGCCTTTGAATCACATACTTCAAAACAAGGCCCCCCTCGGTTAGCTCACCAGTGCAGACGCCGCTCGTCTTGGTGTAGCCGGCCTTGCACTGGCACATCCCTTGCCCGTTCTTCACAACGCATGTTGCGTGCCTGTCGCACCTCACTGCGCCCGTCTTGCAAGGGTCGTTAGCTGGCATGGGTAGAGGAGGGAAGCAGCTAGAGAAGCATCAGCAGTGTTTCAGAAATTATTGATCTCTTCAGCTCTTCACCTTTTTCACTTCTTCGCCTCTACCAGCCTTTCAAACACAGCCTTTGAAACACAGCCTTTAGAACGCAGCCTTTGAAACAGAGCCTTTGAATCACAGACTTCAAAACAAGGCCCTCGGATAGCTCACCAGTGCAGACGCCGCTCGTATTGGTGTAGCCGGCCTTGCACTGGCACATCCCCTGCCCGTTCTTCACAACGCATGTTGCGTTCCTGTCGCACCTCACTGTGCCCGTCTTGCACGGGTCGTTAGCTGGCATGGGAAGAGGGGAAGCAGCTAGAGAAGAATCAGCCTGCCAGTCCAACAAAGAGCGGAGGGACACACAAGAGATTTCTCTTGCACTGTGAGTCCATGGGCAAACATGCAACAAAGGGCCTACCAGGTGGGCGAGTATCATTTCTGCAGCTCTTCTCAGCCTCATTGAAGACGAGGCTCCAGGGGCACTCGCACCGGGGCTTGCGGTCCTTCACAACGCACTCAGCATCTCCGCAGTCCTTGTGGCACGTGGCTGTTGTGGGCACCATAGACAGAGGGACGAACAACACGGCTATGTTCATCTTCAGCTAAGGTGAAAACGAAGATGGGGAGCTGCCTCACACTCTCTTGCCCTGTCTCTCTCGTACTGGTGGTGCTTGTCGGTACGAGCAAGATTTTATAACTAGCACAGGTTAACGTGCATATGCATGTGCATCTTCAGCTAGGGTGAGGCGAGGATAGACTTGCACAAAAGGAGACATGTGATGGCACTTACTCATCTCGCAGCCAACTGATCTCGGCAAATCCGTCGCTTTGACAGTCCTGAGAGAGGGAAGGGAAGCAGGGGGAAGGGAAGGGTATTCACGACGAACATAGATGAGGACAAATACGACTCTGACAGGATGTTTTTTCCACGCCATTTTCACCAAAACAGGAAGCAGATTCAGGCGATAGAAATACTTTATTCTTCCCTCTAGTGCTGGGACAACACCAGACAGAGCCACACATGATGTGGCGTGCAATGCAACACACTCACACACCTTTCTGAGTTGCGGTAGGAACCACCATCCTTTGCAGGACGCGCAATCGTCAGCCCCGCCTTGCCCGTGCAGCCGGGGTTGCTGTGAAACGAAACGCTCTTGCACATGCCATTGCCTTTTCCGGAAGATTGGAAGGAACTCCACCCGACGCTGATCCTGGTGTCGCCGCGCAGGCTGAGGCTGGAGGTGAGGTTGGTGCAGACGGTGGTGCCAGAGAGCTGCTCTGCCGGCCCATTGGTGGTGAAGTTGACCTTCTCCGCGTAGCTGCTCTGGCGCCCATTCACCTGCGCCTGCAGCTGCAGCTGCACCGTCGTCTGGAGGAATGGGGCTGAGCAGCCATCGTGGCCGTTGATGACGGGGGTTTGGTGGCAACAGAGTGGAAGGGAGGAGGGAGCGGGGAGTAAGGAGAAGAAAAGTGCAAGTCCGAGTTCTGTTGGAATAGCAACGCTGCCAGCTGACTGTGAATGCATCCGGTTCACGACTGCAGGACTCAGCAGTGCAGCACTCACCATAACACGTCTGGTCAAATTCGTCGAAGAGCAAACCATGGAAGCACACGCACTCGGGAACGCCATCAATCACTTGGCAGACACCACCATTGCGGCCGCAATCCTTGCCAGCACACCGGTCTGCAGAGAAGAGCACGGGTTGTTGCACGTTGAAGCAAAGAAAGGGAGTTGAAAGAGGGGATTATTCTCTATGTGCAGTCACTGGAAGTCCACCACTCATTTGCCGGCACTCACTGCGGGGACTCGAAATGCTGTGTCTGAATATGCGGGGACGGGAAAGACTGTGTGTGAATATGCTTACACACATGACTGATAAGACGGGTCTGCAGTGGGCATGCAGTGTACCTTAACTTCAAATGCAAATGCCGTGGTGTACAACTCACTAGATCTTCATTCTGATTGTATACAAGAGAGGCGGGCAGGAGGACAACTAAGACTCTTCCACAAGGGGCACTTGCACTACTAGACCTACCAGGATTGGTCTTATCGCAGCTCTTCTGAGCCTCATTGAACACAGAGCCCCAGGGGCACTGGCACTGGTGCTTGCCGTCCTTCACAACGCACTCAGCATCTCCGCAGTCCTTGTGGCACGTGGCTGTTGTGGGCACCATAAACAGGGGTTCAGACAAGAAGGCATTGTAAGGATTTTTGGCGGACAGGGCAAACAAATAGGGGATTTTCTCACTCTCTTGCCTATCTCTCTCAGAATGAACAAGCTCTTTAGGGATTTCAACAGGCAGGCCAACGTGCATGCATGTGCATTTTCACCTAAGGTGATGTGAGGATAACCTCAGAGTTGTGTGCATGAGTTTCTCCAATCCCAATAGAGTTTCTCAAACTTGGTGACATGTGCTCGCACTTACTGATCTCACAGCCGACCGATCTCGGCAAATCCGTCGCTTCGACAGTCCTGAGAGAGGGAAGGGTGATCATAAAGAACGTAGATGAGGACAAAACATGATACTTCCACGCCATTCACACTACACAGGAGAGCAAATTTGGTGATTGGAACGCTTATTTTTCCCACTTATGCGCTACGACCAGACCAAACAGAGCTACACATGATTTGGCGTGTCACGCACCTTTCCGTGGTGCGGTAGGAGCGACCATCCTTTGCAGGACGCGCAATCGTCAGCCCCGCCTTGTCCGTGCAGCCGGGGTTGCTGTGAAACGAAACGCTCTTGCACATGCCGTTGCCTTTTCCGGAAGATTGGAAGGAACTCCACCCGACGCTGATCCTGGTGTCGCCGCGCAGGCTGAGGCTGGAGGTGAGGTCGGTGCAGACGGTGGTGCCAGAGAGCTGCTCTGCCGGCCCATTGGTGGTGAAGTTGACCTTCTCCGCGTAGCTGCTCTGGCGCCCATTCACCTGCGCCTGCAGCTGCAGCTGCACCGTCGTCTGGAGGAATGGGGCTGAGCAGCCATCGTGGCCGTTGATGACGGGGGTTTGGTGGCGACAGAGTGGAAGGGAGAAGGAGGGAGCGGGGAGTAAGGAGAAGAAAAGAGCAAGTCCGAGTTCTGGTGGAATAGCACGCCTGTTGGAATAGCACTCGGCAAGAATGCTGCACTCACCAATGCAGCACTCACCGTAACACGACATGTCGAATTCGTTGAACACCAAACCATTGGTGCACACGCACTCGGGATCGCCATTATTCACTTGGCAGACACCACCATTGCCGCCGCAATCCGAGCTAGCACACGGGTCTGCAGAGAAGAGCACGGGTTGTTGCAGGAAAATGTAGAGATAGGGATTTGAAGGAGGGAGTTGAAGGAGGGAGTTGAAGGAGGGAGTTGAAGGAGGGAGTTGAAGGAGGGAGTTGAAGGAGGGAGTTGAAGGAGGGAGTTGAAGGAGGGAGTTGAAGGAGGGAGTTGAAGGAGGGAGTTGAAGGAGGGAGTTGAAGGAGGGAGTTGAAGGAGGGAGTTGAAGGAGGGAGTTGAAGGAGGGAGTTGAAGGAGGGATTGGAAGGAGGGATTGGAAGGAGGGATTTGAAGGAGGGATTTGAAGGAGGGATTTGAAGGAGGGAGTTGAAGGAGGGAGTTGAAGGAGGGAGTTGAAGGAGGGAGTTGAAGGAGGGAGTTGAAGGAGGGAGTTGAAGGAGGGAGTTGAAGGAGGGAGTTGAAGGAGGGAGTTGAAGGAGGGAGTTGAAGGAGGGAGTTGAAGGAGGGAGCTGAAGAGATTCTTCTCTATATGTGCAGTCACCGGCACTCCACCACTCTCGGGCACTCACTGAGGGGAATGGAACTGTCAGGATGTGAATGGTTATGCTTACCTTGATATTGGTGAGATCGTTCTCCATAATGTAGCTGTAGCCACACTCGCACACCCCCTCTCCATCCACTACAAATACAAAGCACACTCGAAACGTCATACCCACCCACACTCCGGCCCTCGCTCACATTCCAGCACTTACCCACAACACCATCGCATGTATTGTCCGCATTGTTGAAGGTGGAACCGTCGAAGCACTCGCATTCACCAGTAGCCTCAACGCATGCAGCATCAGACCCACAATTGTTGTCACACGCGTCTGCACAGGAAACCAGGGATGATTTCAATTCAAGGTGACTAGGGAAAAGGGATTACAAGAGCAGAGATTTCGCTAAAAACGTCACAACCACCCACACTCTGGCCCTCGCCCCACACTTACCCACAACACCATTGCATGTATTGCTGAGATTATTGAAAGTCGAACCGTCCTTGCACTGGCATACACCAGCACCAATATTATTCACAAAGCACTCAGCATCGGCTCCACACTCCTTGTTGGCACAAGCGTCACCCGTCGAACCTGTTGCTGGTGCTGCTGGCATAGACCCGGTTGCTACTGCACGGGAAATCATAAGTTGTTCAACGGTAGAGTAGGGAAAAGGGGTTAGTAGGGGAACCCTAATGACGTCACACCCACCCACGCTCCGGCCCCTGCCCACATCCCAACACTTACCCACAACACCACCGCATGTATTGTCGAGATTGTTGAAGGTAGAACCGTCCATGCACTCGCATGCACCAGTGCCATCAGCAGCCACAACGCACTTAGCATCGGTCCCACACTTGTTTCCACACGCGTCTGCACAGGAAACCATGGAAAGTCCAAAGCTGAGTAGGAAAAAGGGGGTTACAAGAGCAGAGATCTCGCAAATGATGTCATACCCATCCACCCTCCGCCTCTCTCCCACATCCCTGCACTTACCCGCAACAACACCACCGCATGTATTGTCGAGATTGTTGAAGGTAGAACCGTCCACGCACTCGCATGCACCAGTGCCATCAGCAGCCACAACGCACTTAGCATCGGTCCCACACTTGTTTCCACACGCGTCTGCACAGGAAACCATGGCTTGTCCAAAGTTGAGTAGGAAAAAGGGGGTTACAAGAGCAGAGATCTCGCAAATGACGTCACACCCACCCAGCCTCCGCCTCTCTCCCACATCCCTGCACTTACCCGCAACAACACCACCGCATGTATTGTCGAGATTGTTGAAGGTAGAACCGTCCATGCACTCGCATGCACCAGTGCCATCAGCAGCCACAACGCACTTAGCATCGGTCCCACACTTGTTTCCACACGCGTCTGCACAGGAAACCATGGGTTGTTCCAGGGTAGAGTAGGGAAATGGTGTTACAAGAGCAGCAATTTTGCTAAATAACGTCATCACACCCACCCCCACCCAGCCCCCGCCCGCATCCCAGCACTCACCCACATACCAGCATAAGACGGACAAAGGGACCGAGAACGACTGAGGACCTTTCAAAGCACTTTTCAGCCAGAGGCTAGAGCGTGAGAAACTAGAGGTCAGGATTGAGAAGGGGTGAGAAGAAGGGGTGAGAAGAAGTGGTTGGGAAGCGAGAGGGTGCGAAGCAAGCGGGTGAAATAAATGAGCGTGGGATGCGAGAGTGAGACGGGTGTCGTGCAACTGTCAGTGGTGTGCGGCCTTTAGCAGACTCACCATCTTGGGCGCTGGCATGCGTCGCGAAGCACATTGCAACGAGAACCGCTACAAAGGCGGTGAGGCCAACGTGAAGGCCAAACGGCCGCTGCCCGCGGGGCTTCATGGCTTCAGGAGACGGAAATCAGCGATGGCGATTCGCTTCAGTGATTCTTGCGGCCCGAATCACGTCGCTGGTGGTCGCGAGAGGTGAGATTGGGTGGGAACTCGAAGGTGCGACTCAGAAGGGAGGAGAGGAAGGTACGGAATGAGCGAGCAGAGCTGTGAGAATGTGACTGGGACCTCCGACTCTTGTGTCGATTTATGTGTTGAGTGGTCAATCGGCGGCTCACACAGTCTGATTTATTGTTCTTACGATAAATTAATATAGATCCCGCGCTGCGGACTCGCCGATAAATCGTTGCGGAAAAAGATGGGGCGTTGGAGGCGCAACAGGGGGCACACAGCGGCCGCCGTGGTTTGGGTGGGGGGGGAGGGAGAGAGAGGGGGCGGGGAGGATGGAGGGCGGGGAGAAAGCACCGGCGCCGGCCTGGAAACGTGCATGCTCGACATTGGGACTAGGCGATCGTGTTGAATAATTTGAGACGCTGGCGGTAGTAAGGGGAGTAGCGACATCCGTCATGACGGTCATTGGCCACAAGGGGGGAGGAACGCGAAAGACGAGGGCTGCGGCGATGACGGGAGGCGCCAGCGTGGGGCTAGTCAAACACTTTAGGCGAATAGGCTTCCGCTCCAGCACCAGCAGCAAGCTCGCGCACAGTTCCGATAACTGCGGGACTTGCGCGAGTGAGTTATGTTGGACGATTGCATTATCGGCATTGCAGGTTAGCGGTGGGAGTCAATCGAAAACTGAAAGGTTTTTATGCGGGCAGTTTCCAGAACTGGACGCGTTTGCCAGCGCCCCTGGCGAATGAGGGAGAGTGATGCAGGTAGAACCACGGGAAAATATCAAATTGGGGCCGACGACAATCCGAACCGAGAGTTTGAGGAAACGACTAAAAATTCAACTTCATTGATGCACAATTCTTTTCATAGATTATAATTTCCGCCTAATATGAAGCTCGCGTCTACGTCGGGGGTACCGGAGAGATTACTCGGAATCTGGATCGACTCGCACAGTGATGCTCGCCACTCGTGGGACATAGCTTTGAGAGAGTTTGCGGCGCACTCGGGAAACGGGAAGTGCAGTACTCGTCGACCTCGACGAGGGTGGCGGTGAGTAATGCATACGTGATGCCGGTGTTGCTCGTCCAGGCGCAAATGTATCCGTCGTCGCCGGGCTTCTGGAGGCGGATTAAGCGCATATGTCATTTCATCATCATCATTCGGAACTACGATTCAGGAGGGCGGGCTTCTTTGGAGCGTATCTTTATCCTTTGGAACTACGACTTGGCCTGTAGAGGTCGAATGGAAGGAGGGTTAGAAGTGATTAATTTGTATGGCTTTACACAGCCCAGGAGTGGCGATAGCAGAAACCGGGGCGATGAAGCGGTGGATAACAGAACAAGCGGCCTCACTACCGCTTGGATGGGCGACACTATGGGCGCACAAGTCGATACTCAGCCATTGAAAGAGGGGCACCGTGGGGTGGAAATGTTGACGGGAATGGGTTGTTGGCCCCGCCCTCGCTTGGGTGAGGCTTGAGAAGAAACGAGGAATGAAAATGACTAAGGAAAGTTGGGTGCAAAAGCAAACCCTAGAAAACTGTACCCCATATGTGCTACCCCACTATAGCCTACAGTAGCTATGTCATATAAATCTGACACACCCCCATAGGCAAAGTGGGGGAGAACAAGGGGTCACAAGACCAGTCAAGCAAAGCAAAACAAGCTCAGGGTGGATCACAAAGTCACCACACATTCCGAGCACAAGTGCAAGGCCACAAGGCCAGTTCACATGCAGGATTGCATATATATATAAGGCTAGACAAGCAAGAGCAGGTGTATATATATATGCAACAGTACAAGCAAGGTCAAGGGGTGAGCAAGTGAGGCAGGGTAGGCACAAGACCCAGCTGAGTACAGAAGCGCTGATGATCACAAGGCGGAAGTGCCTTGGTGAAGATATCAGCAGTGTTGGCCTCAGAGGCCACGTATGCAAGCCGTAGCTGACCACGCTGCTGTAGCTCACGAGCAAGGAAGTAGCGGAGAGCAATGTGCTTCGTTCTGTGCTCCAGTCTCTGCTCTCGACACAAGGCCAGCATGGCCTTGTTGTCTACGTACAGCACTGGAGGAGAACGAGGCGGCTCTCCGAGGTCAGTGAGCAGGTAGGTGAGCCAGCGAAGCTCCTGTGCAGCCATGGCCCCGGCGTAGATCTCAGCCTCACAACTGGAGCCGAGAACAGAAGACGAGCGGGTAGCCCGCCACGAAACAGAGCCGGAACCAAGGCTGAAGGTGTAACCCTGTGACGACCGCTGCGTAGCCTGGTCGTCAGCCCAAGAAGCGTCTGCGTGCCCAGTGAGAACCACTGGACTCTGCCCTCCAAGCACAAGCCCCATGCCCGACGTACTGCACAAGTAGCGCAACACCCTCTTCGCTGCAGCCATGTGCTCTGGTCTGTGTCTCCCAGGAGCAACATAGCGTGCAAGAATGCTAAGAGGGTATGCAAGGTCAGGTCGTGTGCAGGTCATCAGGTACATGAGGCAGCCAACAAGCTCTGGGTACGGGCCACTCGACTCTACGGACTCATCCGAAGGCAGAGCTGAGAGCGAGTGGCGAGTAGGCAGAGGAGTGGCCTGAGGCGAGGAGTACGTGAAGCCGAAGCGCTGAAGGACCTGCTGCACCATGTGTGACTGAGTCAGGGTAATGGTGCGGCGTGCTCTGTCCCGGGTGATCTGCAAGCCAAGGTAGCTGCGCAGTTCACCCAGGTCTGTGCACGTGTGTCTCTTCTGCAGCTCGGACTTCACGTGGGCGAGTCCAGCAGTGTCAGCTGTGGCGAAGACCAAGTCGTCGACGTACACGAGGATGTAGAACGGCGGCAAAGAAGTGTCGGTGCGCAAAAACAGCGACGGGTCGGCAGTAGAGGGAGCAAACCCAAGAGCCGCAAGTGTAGTCCTCAGTGTGTCGTGCCACTCACGCGGTGCCTGGCGGAGACCGTAGACTGGCCGCCGGAGGCTCCACTGGGTGCCAGGAGGAAAGGACCCAGTGAAGCCAGGTGGGCGACGCAGCCAGATCTCCTCGTGCAGGCTGCCCTGCAAGAAAGCAGTGCTGAAGTCAAGAGAGTGCAGCTCGTAGTCGCGGTGAGCAGCTATGTGCAGCAGTACCCGAAGAGTGGTCATCTTCGGGGTGGGAGAGAAGGTCTGAAAGTAGTCAACTCCCTGCCGCTGACTGAAGCCACGAGCCACGTAACGCGCCTTGAAGACAGGCGGAGAACCCGGCGGCCGCTTCACCCTGAAAATCCACATGCCACTGACGATGTTCGCCCCAGGCGGGGGAACCTCGTCAACGTAGGTGCCTGTGGACTTCCAGGAAGCCATCTCTGCGTCCATAGCTGCCTGCCACTGAGAGGAGTAGGGACCCTCTATCAACTCCGCGTAAGAGCGCGGAGTCGGGATGTCAAGTGCATCCGGGTCTCCCTCAGGGGTAAGCAGTACGGACACGAGATGAGGTGAAGCAGCAGCCAAACACTGGAACTCCTCCTGTCTGTCCTCAAGGACGTCCGTGCCAAGGGCACACTCACCCCCGACGGACAGAGGACAGACAGACTCAGACTCAGCAACAAGACTAGCAGCGTAGTCTAGACGACAGCGAGCAGCAAAGTCGACGAGCTCAGTAACTAGGGCAGACGCAGCAGTGGACTCAAAGGAAGGGTCAGTGACAACAGTAGCAAGGAGACGCGTGACAGTAGGACTGGCAGCACGAAGAGAGTCCGACTCCGGGTCAGGAAGAGCAGGAAGAGAGGACTCAGGAGGAGAAGGCAAAGGGGCACGCGGAGGAGCAGTGGACGGACGCAGAGACATCCGGTGCGTGCCAGGGACAGGAGGAGGACGCGGACGCGAACCACGACCACTAGTGCGAGCAGCACGGACAGGCGACGCAGGGCGAGACGCAGGCTCACGACGCTCAGCAAGACCTCTAGTAGGACCAGTGTAGGGAGAAGGAGCGGGCAGTGGGGAGGCCGGCTGTAACTGTAACAGTGACGGGACAGGCTGTGGACACTCTAAGGGAGGAGGAGGACCAGTAGAAGGCGGGAGACCAAGAACCTGCTGAAGGAGCGGAACGAAGTACGGCCGAGGCCGCGCGGCGACTCCAGACACAGCAGGGACAGCACCAGTACCCCCAGCGGCAGCACCAGCGCCAGCAGCACCTCCAGCTCCAGTACCTCCAGCAGCACCAGTAGCACCCCCAGTAGGACCGCCTCCAGGACCAACAGCAGTAGCCTCAGCGCCAACACCCTCAGCAGCTCCAGCTCCAGTAGTACCCGCAGGCCCAGCAGCTCCAGTACTCCCAGTACGAGCACCTCCGGGACCCGCGGCACCAGCACCCTCAGCAGCCGAAGAACCTCCAGCTCCAGCAGTACGCCTCCAGCGCCGGGCAAACCACTCGCGCAGCTCCTGTGGAGAGAGTGGCTCCCGCCAAGACGAAGCACCCGGAGAACCTCCAGGCTCAGCACCGCCAGACGCCAC